CATCCTTTATCGGTGACACTCTAGGACACTCGACACCTTGTCTCCTCCAGTTCCACACCCTCTCCCTGGACCAAGTCAGTCTTGCCTGGTCCCTGCTACGTGAGGACGATGCCCAGACCTCTCTCCAGACCTCCGACCTGGGGCTGCTCCACGTTTCCACCTGGACGTCCCACAAACACCTCAACCTCGGCGTGTCCAAACCTGCCCCCTCCCACCCCCGCCTACCTGGGGGCCTCTGTTCCTGTCCTGACTGACAGCATCGACACCCACCCAGCTTCCCAGCGAGACATGCTGGTATAACGCTGGTCCTGCCTTTCCTCACCTCTGCACCCATCCCCCGACACTGAATCTATTTTCCTCCCTGAAGGAGTATGTGCTCCGCCCCTCAGATCAGCCGCTTCTTCCCACGTCCACTGCTAAGGGGCTAGGCCGCCACCTCTCGCCCTGCACCAGCACACGCCCCCAAACTCACGCACTCGCCGCCACCGTGCCTACACCCTCTAATCACTGCCCTTGCTGCACACAACGGAGCAAACCCCAGAGAGCAGGCACCCCAGAACCGCTGCCCCTTCACGCCCCTGACGGCTCCCGCTGCCATTGAGTAATGGCCAGATGCCTTTGAGAGCCTCTCAGTGCTTGGTGGTGACCTGGCCCTGTCCTCCCGTCCATCCACAGCTCTCGCCTTTCACCTCATGGGGCCCAAGCTCCTAAAACACTGGGATTCCCAGCGCCTTGCACAAAAGTAGGTAGTCAGTAAATATTTGTGTCACAAATACATGAATAAATGAATGAATGAGTAATGTCAGGAAAAGTGGCACCATGACTCTATCTGAACTGGGTTGTGAAGGATGAGTAGAATTTTACCAAAACAACAGGAGTACAGGAACCTCGGAAGTACGGAAAAATATGGGAAGCTTAAGAATCCCCCACCTGGATGTCTGGGAACAGTCACCGAACTGGGGTGGTTACTCTGTCATTTCAGGGCCCCTGTGACAGAAAGACTCCGGTGTGCAGGATAGGGTTTCTCAGGAAGGGAATGGGGGACTCTTAGACTGTCGTGAGGAAGGAGAAAAGGTCTCCCAGCCCCCTTGGAGGCTGGGACTTTCGGGGGGGGGGGGGGCTGCAGTTCTGAACCTGGCTCTGGGGGGGGGGGGGGGTAGGGCAGAGGCTGGGCAGAGGCTGGGCAAGGCGGGGGTGGGGGGCTGGCCTGGGCCTCAGCAGCCGACATCAAAGCTCTCCGGGTTTTGCTCCCGCATTCCCATCATCCTCAAAGCTCCAGAAAAGTCTCGTTAAAAGTACCTCTGGTCTCAGCTGTTGTAGGGGAACCACGAAAGGTCACGGAACGAGGGACAGCAGCATCTACCCAAGTCAGGGCAGGTGAGCGGGGGGAGTTTGCCTGGCCAGTGAAAACCGCGCAGCTGGAGAAGCCTGAGCCCGTGTGAGGCGGTGCCCGGGAAAGGCTCAGGGAAGCCGGAGGACGGACACCAGGGCGGTCTCCGGGGACAGAAGGGAGCGGTGTCTGGAAGGAAGCTGGAGGGGCTCCTGCTGTCGTGATCCGGGGTTCAGCAAGAGAAAAGGATGGGTCTGCAAAGCCAGGTGTGAAAGATAAAAATGGCCTGTTAGGACTTCCCTTCAAAGGACCTACCACGATTTTATTTTACAGGCACCCGTGGACTCACTCCCTTGTCCTTCTCCCCTTCCGGACACGGGCAGCACCCGGGCGGGCCGGTGGGTGCCTGCACTCACCGCTGCCTCCCCGGCATCCAGCTGGGGTGTAATAGGCGCTCAGAAGCAGGCTGGATAAGTTAAACATTTTAAATGAAACCACTCTGCAGTGTGTGACTATTCTTTCTCTGTATTGTTGGCTTTTTGCTTTGTTTTTGCCCCTCAAAAGAATATCAGCATGTACGAGTATGATCCCAAAAAGGGCATTATCAACGAGAACTTCCCATCTGGAAAAAGCAAGTCGCCTCACACACACAGAACTGGGGCTCTAGCCTCTGGGTTGGGAAGAGACAGAAGAATTTTCAGAAAGGCAAAAGGACGGTCAAATGGGGGGACGTACTTCACTGGAAGGACAAAGGGCTGCACCCAAAATGGTCCTTGGTAAGGTCCGCCTGACGCCCTTGGACGCGCAGCTTCCCAGGGGGACGTGGAAGTCACGGGTGGATTATGTGCGGAGAAGTTCCAGAAGGGACTGCTTCTGTGGCATTACAGTCACCGAAAACTGACCATTCACACGTGACGGGAGAGCATGGACGACCTTGGCACCTGCGACAGCCATTACACCAGGCACTGCGGCGTCACAAGGACACTCGAGACCCACCCACCCTGGTGGCAGGGGGCGCCGCCACCAGCCACTCCGAGGCCTGACCGTGTGGCCGTGGGGCAGCAGGAGAGGCCGTTTCAGAGAGTACAGCAGACGTTGGGGCAATAAATGGAGGAGCTGTTTCCCCAATAACCCTCAGGCCCGAGCCTAAGACACTGCCCCTGACCTGCAGAGAAGTTGCAAAATTACATTTTAACAAACAAATGTTTGGCATCTTTTACTTTCAGGAGCAACTGAGCCTTTACTCATTAGGAAGCCACTGCGCTGGCCAGGGTCAGCCGTCCATCTGGGGTCAGCCGTCCATCTGGCTCCTGCCTCGCAGGGCTGCGCGGTCACAGTGCTTTACTGCGGCTACGCAAGGGGATGGGTCACTCCCATAGCAGATGTGACAGCGAGAGGTCTCGTCGCAATCCGCAGCAAGGTGTCCTCGGCCACAGCGGCTCTGGCCAAGCACCTCCGCGCCAGACGCCATAAAACACCTTACATTTCAGTGTGAAGATGACTTCACACAAAACTCCAGATAAAGGGAATGGGGAGCCCTTCTCCCCACCCCCTACCACCCCCCCTGCCCTTGAACTCAGGGTCAGACCTCTGGAGAACCAGATGCTTATCTGGAAGAGTCCAGCGGTCAGTACGGGAGATGTCTCCACGCTCTCCCTGGAAGGGCTTGCGGAGGGAGCTGGGCCACGCTCCATCCCGGCGCGAAGCTGGGTAATTGCCAGCCTGACCCCGGCAGCCTCTCGCCCTGTTCACCCCTCACTGTCGTGCACGGTCCGGCGCATCATGAGATGTGCTTATTAATTTTACTCGCTTGACACCGCGCTCTTCTGCCCTGAGCGAGATGTTAGGAGAAAATGATAGGGATAGATTCTGCTCCTGTCAGGCCTGCCGAGACTTCCGGAAAACCAGACTGTCACAGGCCATCTGCCGCCACTGGCCAAGCATTCAAGATGACCCCAAAGGTACAAGCAGGAGTAAGAGGCACAGATCAACTGAGAGCAGGACAGCACGAAGGCGTGAGCCCCGGGCCCTGGTGTGAACCGCCTGCAGGAGCCCTCCCGGGCAAGCAGCCCAGGGGCCGGTCCTTGGAGCGAGCGCCCGGCCGCCCCGCGCACAGGCTGTGCCGCTTCGTGTCCAATTCATCAAAAGACATTTTGGCCTCTCCGATCGCTAACACTTTTATTAGCTTCCCCAAGAGTTTTATGGCAGAAAGCCATACCTAATGATTCTATTTTATAGCAAGTTATACATTCAAGCAGCACTTTGAAGTCAGGCAGCAGGTAAGACTCAAACCTTTGTCAAAAAAGATTCCCGCGTTCTTTCACTTTTAAAATGTTTATAAGCTTTCAAACAGTTGGGAAAGTGATGGGGAACACTTTCGCAGGCCTCTCCCTCCTCACACAGGACCCAGCGCTGGGCTGACCTGAGACACGCGGCACCTTTCTCAGCGGGGCTGATTTTGTCCATCACACCCGTCCTCCGCCTACGGACAGTTGGCAATTTCTGGACACAGTTTTTGGTGGTCTGTCTGTCTTGGGGGCTCGGTGCCACTAGCATCTAGGAGGTAGAGGCCAGGGATGCTGCTGAACAGCCTAGGAGCGCAGGACAATCCCACAGCACAGAAGTATCTGATCATCTGCCCCCTGATGTCAGTGGTGCCGAGGCGGAGAAGCACTGCCTGGGGGGCCCCCTGGACCAGGCCTTGTCCCCCACCCCCCACGATGCTCAGGACATCACACACTAATCTAACACGGCAGCGAGTTCTCAGTGCTGGCTACTAAGGACCTCATTCTTTTACTCTTACGTATTCTTGGTACACACTTGTGATGAACAAGAATGAAATCAGCCATAAACCAAACGAGGAAAGTGAAAATAAGACCACTTCGGAATCTCTGAACACAGTACTGAACCCTCCAAATGTTACTCTGCATTTTTTTCAAGCTCCAGCCAAATCGGAATTTATCTATTGAAACAACAAAATAACCGATTCCAGGCACCGGTACCTCTGAACTCCATGATGTCTGCTGAAAAGCAAGGCGAGGTCTCCGCTAAGCAGTGGTGGTGGTGAGTCCCAGCAGGGACTTGGGGGAGGGGTGGTCCTGACCCACGGCCCCCACGGAGGGGGAGGGGCTCTGCCACTTTGCTTCCCAGGGCGTGGGTTCACCTCATCAGCAGAGTGGACATAAAGCTGCTGGCCCCCAACCTCACAATGACTGTGAGCGCTACACGAGTTCCGGGGTGGGAGGCGGCTCTGTGAGCCGCACGGAGCTGTGTGGTCCTAGTGCAATGCAATCAGGACACTTACACACGTGGGGCAGCCGATGACAAACGCCAAGGGTCTTTCAGCCTCTTGAATCCTTTTCATGAAATGTCACAACTAGAAGTGACTGGAAACCACCTGACCCGTCCCCTGAATTTTGCAGAAGGTGACAATGAACCTCACAGAGGTTGAACGACCAGGTTCTGGGCAGAGCCTGCACAGGCTTGGGTGTCCTGACCCCCAGTCCAGGACACTCCCCGGGGCCTGCCCAGCCGGGGCTTCTCCCTCCCTGCCGCGGTTCCCAGAGGGAAGGAACACTCCTTACACCCGAGGCTGGGAGGGCCTCGAGCACAGGAGGTAACTGTCTGTGGAACCCGTGAACAAAAGGTACAAAGCAGCACCCTGACTTACTACGTCATAGCCTGTCGGGGCTCGGTTCCGAGAGGCCACCACCCCCACGCCCGTGATGGGGTCCATCGACGTCTCTGGCAAGGCTTCCGAAAGGTCTTTGACTTCAGGCATGGTGGATGGGTCCTGGTTCCGAAAAGGAAAAAGAAAGCACAAAATTCAAACTGAGCGTTTAATGTGAACAATGCGAAGTCTCAAACAGACAGGACCAGACTCAGCAAATGCCCTGGGCTCAGCTCTGCGTGTTCCCTGACGAAAGGAGCCCTGACCTTGCCTGACTCTTTCCTCAGATCGAGAATTCAAAACATGCCTGGCCCTACTTGTCTTGAGGCAGCTTTGAACGCTGAGCTAGCCCAGCTAATGAGGGCTTGTCCCTTCTCTGAGTAGGTCATTTTAACTCAAACCCAAAAGCAAACCATTCTCAAATCTCCCATCCAGCTGCCTGACTTCTGAACAGATGCCAGAGGATTCTCTGAGGATAAATCAGAACCACCTCGCCTTTCTCTCCCTTACACTATTTCCTGACGGAGGGGCGGTCTTCCAAACCCTGGGTCTCCACCACAACCGCAGGTGGACTGCTCAGGAGGCAGAGCTTTGCAAACAAAGGCCGGGAAGAGGCGAAGGGACGGTGCTCGGCCCAGGCTCCAGGACCGTGAGCACGCAGGGAGCCACGGCACTGACGGTTACACAGCTGCTGTGACAACTAGGGGTCACGTGAAGGGAGGGCCTGCATGCACACAGTAGGTGCCCAACAAAAAGCAGACGAGGCTGGCGGGGTCTGGGGCACAGGGGTCCAGCGTAACTGACCAGAAACGTGCTGGGTGCCCCTCCCGAGAGGACTGGCAGGCCCCCCGGTTGTGTTTAATCCCACAGGTCGTGGGCATTTACCCAAAGCTGAACACTAACAATGACCGTAATTCTTGCCAGGCACTTTGGGAGAAAGGGAGGGAAGTGGAATTATTATTCTGCAGCTTACTCTGCCTCTTGATGTGACCAGAGGAGACGAGCGGTATATAGACAGCACTGGGCTTGGGCAGCCCGAGTGGCAGTGCACCAGAAAGCAAATGAAGGTAACACCTTATGTAAATGACTTTTAGTGCTTGTAAAAGGACAAGCCTCGAACAAGAGCACGTTAAATTCCACCTCCTTCTGCAGCAATTAAATTCCACTGGCTGCACGTCTTGCCAGATCTCTCAAGGCTGGTTACTGCTTCTAAAGCAAACCAAGCACCCCACCTCACTAGGCAGGCAGGAGGGATAGTCTCGGTTCTCAGTCCAGAAGCAGAAAAGGCAGAGGCTATTAAAAATGACTGTGCCTCCTAAACAGGAACAACCAAAATGCCCTGTGCAAGTCGCCCATGTAATCGGCCCTCCCCAGACCCCACAGAAGGCTCCGGAAACAGACTCGATGCAATGGAGCCAAGACTCCACTCCAGGCACTTCTTAGTCTGACAGCGGCCATACTCTCGGCACCTGTTTATGACAAAAGCCAAACTGAGTATTGTTTTACTTAATTCTACTCAAAATAAGCTTCTGGAAGCCCAGGAGAGAGACCAGGAAACCACGATGCGTTGCTGCCTCATCTTCTGGTTTCAAATTTCACTCACCAGGTGGGGCTTATCTACATTCAGGCATGGGGTTTAGGGCTTCTTGCACACAGTAGGCATAAAGAAAACACTGAGTGAATGAACACGCATGCACACCCCCAGTAACAGAGGTTTAGAATTAAAGATCAGCACCTGCCCGATCCAAAGCACACACTGATCAAAAAGTATCTTCACATGGAAAACCTTACTGGTAACATAACAATAACAATGCTGCAGTTTGCAAAATACTGGTACCTGCTGTTGGTTACCAAAATGCTTTGCAATTAACAACTCATTAACAGAATGTATGGATTTTGCCCGTGCTGAAATATCACGCTGTGAATTTAATAAAAAAACATGCGAGGTAAGTTTTTTTAATTATTAAGATAGCACTGCCTCTCCTATGTAAGAGAGAGGGAGGGGGAGGTAAGCATGGAAATAAATAAGACATGTTTTATTTGCTGATAGATTCACGTCCTTGGGTTGCAATATCCTCCACGAGGCACCAGTGACAATGGCTCTCTTTTGCTCTGAAGCACGCTCTCAAGTGCAGCAGGAGAAATTCGCTCTGAGAGCAAGGATGCTGCTCCCAGAATGCACCAGAGAGGCAGCCCAGCAGCAGGTTCCAAGATGGCTGCAGGCTGCCTCCCGCCCAGGCAGACAAAGGACTGGCGGCCTGTGCCCGCACGCGGTCGCAGCCCAGCAGCCTGCAGGACCGGAGGACGCACTGAGCCGAGCGGCACACAGAGCATCTCGCGCGGCCTCTTCTTTCCTTTGCCCCCCAGCTGCCGCACCCTGGGGATCAAGGCAGCCTTTGTGAAATACAGACAAATGACTCCTCGCTGCTGCACGGGGCTGAGGCTGGCGCAGCAGTGGAGGGAGCACCACCACCACCAGCAAAGGAAGCTTTTAATGAGAAACGCCCAAGATATCCATGGCAGAGGCAATCACTCAAAGCAGCTTGCCCTGAATTACATATTTTCTGACTGCAAATTACTTTTAACATCATCTCTACCGTCAGTTCAATTGACCTTCCTAACAAAAGGCCATTTATTAACTAGCGCTCCACGTTTCCCGGGCTGTGGTGGAGCCCCAAGCCAGGCGGGATGGCACTGCCTCCCAGTTCTCAGCTGCCCAGGGTCACAGGCCAGGCCTCTGTGAGGGGAAGAAGAGGCCATTAACGCTGGCCTTCGGAGCGGATCTGTTGGGGAGGGGAGAGGCGCGGGGGCAGGGTGTTTAAAGCCAACATTAACCTGTCTGGCAAGAGGCGATGCTGGTCTGCAACACGGAATTCCAGGGCCTACTTGCAACAACCCCTGGCTCCACCCTCGGCAGCTCCTCACCAGCATCCACCTCTCTCGAAACCCTAACTGTGCACAAACACACTGACACGCCTCCACTGCGTGGCTACAGAGCTTTACAATTCTCAGAAAGCTTTCTCAGGCCCTGGCTGGTGTGGCTCAGTTGGCGGGAGCGTCATCCTGTGGACAGAAAGGTCACCGGTTCAATTCCCGGTCAGGGCACACATCCAGGTGGCGAGTTTGATCCCTGGTCAATGCACATAAGAGAAGGCAATTGATTCATGTTTCTTTCTAACATCCATGTTGCTCACTCATGCTCTCTCTCTCTTCCCACCTCTGTCTCTAAAAAGCATTGAAAAAAAATGTCCTCTGGTGAAGATAAAAAATTTTTTTTTTTTTAAAAGCTTTCTCAGGGTCTGTCTCAATCAACACTCACTCTAAACCTGGGAGGTGGCTGGGCTGTATCATCCTTGAGTTAGCGGGGGAAAGAAAACCCTGAGGCCTGGAGTTCTCAGACATCATGCAGCTGGCAGACAAATAGGGCCTCTGACCCTCCTTCCCCAGCCTGGTCTGCTTCCCACAACACTGCAGAGAGGCCTGCGTCCCACCCGATACCGACTGAGAAAGCAGTTCCAACACTAATTATATTTAAAATGCCACAGCCCTTCGTCCTGTCGCCGTAGCCCAGTAAGTGAAGCTCGGGGAAGAAAAGTACAGAAAGATAAAAGTAACAGGGGATTAATTTCCCTCACACCTCAGTTTCAAGATTCAACATTTCCCTCATAAATAATTTACAACAATAAAAATGAGCTAAGGCCATGTTTGTGCAGGACGGAGGTAAATTTAGGCCTAATGAGGGAGATCGGAGCACTGCACAGGAGGGAACAGGTTGATGCATGGTGCGCGCGGGCCCATCGCCGGCACACAGGGGCTCCATCACCGACAGCCAGTCGCAGGGCCAACCAGGGGGAGGGAGCAATTTGCAAAACTTCGACCGTGCTCGCTGTGGCTGTGCCTCTCTAGTGAAAACCAAAAGTTGACCCAGTATTTCAGATGACAAGATAACGGATGTTGAAATTACTCAGAACTACAGGATGGAGCCAACTCAGACTAAGTGGGTTCTCAGCAAGTGCCAGGTAAGGAGCGAAGGCCATGGCGGAACCGGGAACTGGTCCGCTCTTGGGTGTGGGGAGAGCACAGCGACCTTGAGTCGGTTCTCTTAATTGAAGCTCGGAGGTCGTCTGGTCCCAATCCCCATCCCAATCTCTAACCCTGGTGCCCGGCCGCCTCTGCTGGATCATTTGCAAGTCCGGGGGCTGCAGCGCCTGGCTCTGCTTCTGTGTCCGCCCCAGGAGGATTTCTCTGCAAGGTGGGAGGGCGAGGGTGCACGCCTGTGTGTGCAGTGTGGGGTGAGGTGTGTTTTCCAAGCCAGGCGGATTTTTCCCCTGTCACGCTGGGTGGAAGAAAACCGCTTCCTGCCTCTGCCTGCAATGCCCGCAAACAGTGCCTGGGGGTGGGGGATGGGGGGGGTGCTCAGGCATTGCGGCACAGCACCATCGCTGTCCTAGCAGGTTCACAGAGGAATGAACTTTAACTATAAAGCCCCTTCATACAGACAGCACACTGCTCCCTTGTAGCTGATCAAAGACTTACTACAACAGTTTGCTTAATCCCTAAAAGTCATCGGAGCTGGGCTTAACTGATGCTGAGCATTGTTTCAGAATCAAAGGCGTGCCTCCCGGCCCCAGTCTGGGGGAAAACTAAGCTACTGTATCACAGTTGAAAACTCAGGGGAACTTTGATATCATCTCTGTTTAATTTCCCCAGCCCCGTGAGCCTGGGGTTTATCTCATTTTATCAACTCCTTTACTGAAATCAAAAACCAACTACCAGAGCTCAGACCTCTCACCACTGAGGCCCCTTCAGGGGTGTGGGGTGCGGGCTGAGGAGTTTAAAGATGAGGGGGGTGCAACAGCTGCAGGGGGCATGGGGTGCCGCCTTCAAAGGAGGCACAGCAGGAACCCCAAACTCAACTCAGCCTCCCTGCTGGCTCGGAAGCCTCACCAGCCAGCACTGCCCACCAGGGCTGACGGCATGACTCCAGCACAACTTTTCAGCAGAGTAATTTTAAAGTATTGGTGGAGGGGCTGGGTAAATTGGGCTACTGTAATTGAAACGACAAAAACAGTGGGTTAATTAAATCCCCACAGAAGGGCAACATTGCTATCAGCTTGTTTGAAACCCAAAGTCAAAGGTGCAAAAGACATAAAGTGTTGGCCCACAGCTCCTAGTTTGCAGGGCTGGGAAGAAGCAGTGGATAATATTTCACTCTGTCGGAAATGGCCTGAGAGCAGGGTCTCCGCTGAAAATGGCTGTCCCCCAGGAAAAGCTGCTGTTGTGGCCCGCAGCTCCGCCTGCTTCTCAGGGGTGCAGTGGTCTGCAGGAACCCACGCCCCTCTCTGTTGCCCCATGACTACTGGCACCTTTCTGCCAACACAACTTAAGCCAGGGACAGAAGGACACTGCCCCATCCCCCTAGGAGGAGGCCCACAGCCAGGCTCCGCCAGTGCACGCTACAACACACACAAACCCACAAACTGGGCCACCTCCGTGCAGCTGAGGTACAGAGACCTACCTCCTCGGGAGACTGCGAGCTGTGGCCAGAGTCCATGCAGCACCCAGGCAAACGGCTAGCTGGCTCTTGGGGGACAGTGTGCAGGCTGCGGTGTCACTGTGGACCACAGGATAGCATCAGAGAGCATCCTGGCGCCTCCTGCACTTGGGTCTGGACCACTTATCTAGCGAGCAGTCGGAAGCCCAATCTCTCCGACAGACGCTGTGGAGTGCGGTCCGGTGGCAACAGGCCACAGGCTACCAGGACGGCTGCTGAGATGCCGGGAAACGAAGGCGAGTATTTCTCCAAGCACACCTACATCACCAGGGATTTTCCAGCTCAGGACTAACAAAGGCGAGCACTTCCTTTTCTCCAGTAAAGGTCTGTGGCTTCCAATGGAAGAACCTGGTGTACAAACGCATCCACTCCATCTGACCTATGATTACATTTATAGTAACCATTTGATGACCAAACAAATTCCCTAAAAAACCACGTGAGGCAGGCCTGGGGTTCAGGCGGTTGCAGCCCAGTACAGTGCAAAGCTAGATCCGGGAATTCACTCTCCAAAAATAAATCCAGGGTCAAGTTCCACAGCACTGCAATGGCCAAAGTCCTGCCCCTTGAAAGCCTGACTCTGCAAAACCAGGGCTCCTGGTGCAGGGAGGGGGGTTGCGGGGGAGGCCGTGGCTCGGCATTCTCCAGTGCACTGCGGGCCCTGCACCCACTTGCCCACATTTACTATAAACGAGGTCATCCCTGCCCACTCCCTTCAGGTCTGGTCTTGGAGCCATACTGCTCCCTGGAGAGAAGGAAGAAGGACAACCCCAACAGCAGGCAGATGCCCTGCCAATGAAACCATCCCAGGAGGCCCCGGGAGCAGTGCTTCCCGGATGTTAACTGACACAGATGAGTCATACCCTTGCCCTAATGGCCCCAGTGTCTGCAGAGAAAAAAAAAATGCCAATGTCATCTCGATGCTGGACAAATGGGCTCCAAGGCCAGAATCATCGGAACACACAGCTTCGGGTGAGTCAGGCGTGCCCCGTCACCACCCACCCCTCTGAATGTCACATGGGCGTTGAGAGTTTCTTTCCAGACATTCAGGAATCTAATCCTTCTACCTGTGTGCTGATGACTTCCAAAACACCTCCCCAGCCGGAGTTCCCTCCAAGGCTCAGGTATGTATCTGGTGTCTCTCAGCACCTGCACGTCCCACTAACACCTCAAACTCGCTGACCTTGCCATCCTCCCCCAGAGCATCTCCCACCTTCCCAGAGCCTAATGGGACCCGGCACAAAGCCGTCGGTCCACGGACATTCACGGAGAGCCTCCGCTGGGCACTGAGGGAGGGCGTGTACCCATGAGGACAGAAAACCTGATGCTCCGGGTCGGGAGTTCCCCGATCCTAGCAGGAACAAGAGCCATCCAGAGAGCTGGTTAAAACAGAGATTCTTGAACCCACCCCAGAGAACAACTCAGTGGGTCTAGGAGGGAGCCCGAGAAGCTGAGTTTCTTGCAAGCTCCGGGGGGGGGATGCTCAAACAGCTGGGCCACAGGGCAAACCTGGAATACGTGGCAGCCATGTCTCATCAGATGCTTGATGCCTGAATGAATGAATGAACGAACGAACGAATGAATGGAAAGAACCCGACGGCAATCACCCGGGAGGGACAGCCTCAGAGTGAGTCCCCCAGTCTCCTCTCCCTCCACAGCACAGCCCACTTGACTCCTTCCCTGTGATGCCCACCCCACCCTTCCAAATCGGGGTCATGTCTTCTGTTCTCCCCGAAACTTCCCCAACTGCCCATCCAGGCAGGTAGGTGCTGCCCCTGAGAATCCTGATGTTGTCCAAGGACACGGTCTCAGCACACACAGGTGCACACATGACCTTATCTTTCAGGTTCAAATGCACTTTCCCTGAAAGAACATAAGTTGCACGAAGGGGTTATGCCTGCCAGTGCCTGGCTCACAAGGGTACTCAGTAAGTAGCCATCGATAGATAGACGGAAGGACAAATGCACGAAGTTCCTGTCATCGTCTCAAAAAGGCCCATGTTTCTTTGGACTCAGGAGGGCGCACAAGGCAACCCCACACAGGACACACAGTAGCGCCCCAGGAATGGCCCTCTGCAGGGCAGGGGAGGCGGCCGCAGCACTGCAGGCTGGCTGCACAGAAGCCATGCCTAGGGAGTGTGTGAGGGCCACACTGCCCACTCCAGCCCTGGGTTCAGATTTAACTGGTCTGGGGCCAACCCTGGGTAATGCCACCGTGCACAGTGACACAGTGACCAACAGGACAGGGCCGTCACTCGTGGAGCTCAAAGGCTGGAGGACATATCCCAAAAGAAAGGGACTACAAATGAGGGGACTCTTCCTTCGGCCTGGTGCGACACTGAGACTGAGAGAGGGGCTGGCCCCGGAGCTGGCCTCTGGGACGATGCAGGGTGCAGAGGGGTGGGGTCGCCGCTGGCAGGAGACACAGCACCCGCAGCAGTGGAATGACACAGACGGCAGGGAGAGGCGTGAGTGGTAGATGGGCTCTGAAACAAGCTTATGAAATGTTGTAACCAACAAACTGATAAGCCAAAGAGTCTGTGCTTTTCTGCTCTTTGTAGGTCTACAGGAAGGGGCGCCCCACTGGTCGGAAGGGAGGGATTCCCAAGTCTTCCGTTCACAGTTCCTCTCCTGCAACTGAATGCTTCTCAAATCAACACCCACTTGCTGCAGACCCCCACAGGGCCTCCTTGTGCCATCAGCTCAGCGGGGCGGGTGGGGGTGGGGGTTGGGGGTGGAGCGACGTAAAGCAGAGGGATGGAAAGGCTGCAAGCTGCGGAGTCAGCAGGACCCAGGCTTGAATGCCAGCCCTGACACTTACTGCAGCTGTGCGACCCCAGGCAAGCTGCCCAAACTGGGCCCACGTGTCCACCCCTACAACGCTGGAATAAGAGATAATACTGTTTTCTCTACAGGGTTATCATGTGGGTAAACAACTTGCAGAACCTTCCTCAAAAGACACAATCCACACAGTGGGAAAGACAGCCTACGGGATGGGGCAAAACACTTGCAAACGACAGTCTCTGATAAGGGATTAAAATCCAGATCCACTAAGAACCCTGTTACTCGACAACAAAAGACACCTAAACGATTAAATGACAAACCCACAAAGGACCTGATTGACCATTTCCCAGAAGACGACACACGAATGGCCAACCAGCACGGGAAAGAAAGGATGTCATTAGGGAAATGCAAGCCAAGACCACAAAGCAATGCCAACTCACACCCTCTAGGACGGCTACTATCCAAAAATGAAAACTACCCGCTGGCCAGGGTGTGGAGAAAGTGGCACCCAGCGCACTGTTGGTGGGAATGAAAATGCAGCCGTTATGGAAAACAGCATGGCGATTCCTCAAAAAGCTTAACATAAAATTTCTGTGATCTGGCAATTACATGGGGCACATACCTGAAACACAGGACTGAAAACAAAAACAGGGTCTCGAAGAGAGATCTGTGTGTCTGCATTCACAGTGCCATTATTCACAACAGCCGAAAGGTGGAAGCAACCCCAGTGTCCGTAAACAAGTGAATGGACCAGCAAAATGTGGCCCATTCGTACAATGGAGTATTATTCAGTCTTAAAAAGCAAGGCAACTCCAGTGTATCCTTCAGTATGAGTGACCTGCAAGACATTATGCTAAGTGAAATAAACGAGTCACAAAAGGTCAACTACTGTAGGATTCCACTACCATATTTTTTGGACTGTAAGACACACTTTCCCCCCAAATCTGGGAGGAAAGCGGGTGCGGCTTATAGTCCAATATGGCTTACCTGGCTCCCTGGGGGGAGAGGGAGGCGGCAGTGAAGCAGGTCACAGGTTATTAAATATTTTACCACACTTTTTTGCTTCAAAAAACTTTTTTTCCTATTTTCCTCCTCTAAAACCTAGGTGTGTCTCATCATCCTAAAAATACAGTAGATGAGGTACCTAGAGGACCAGTCAAATTCATAGAAATGGAAAGTAGAGCGGTAGTTGCCAGGGACTGGGGGAGGAGGAAGCGGGAGTTATTTACAGAGCACGGAGTTCCAGTCCATCGAGATGAAGAAGTTCTGGAGGTTACTCACACAGCATGAGCACGCTTAGCGCCACCGCTCCGTGCAGTTAAAAATGAGTAAAATGGTCAATGTTATGTTATGTGTATTTTACAACTGTTTTTTTTTTTTAAGTATCTACCATTGTGGTTCTCCTATGTCAATGAGCATAGGCACAGCCCAAGATGGGTTTTAAACATGCAGATTTAGGGTCCCTTCCTCAGATATTCTGAGTCCCCATCAGGGTGTGAGGTCCTGGCATCCGCATTTTCATAAACATCCTAGGGAAGAATGCATTCATGTACGTATCTCTCCTAAAGGATCAGGGGATACTCTTTGGAACGGCCTGCTTTGCTGATAAGTACCCGCTTTTTTTAAATGTGTGTGTGGAACAACCTCACACTGTTGACTCTGGCCGGGGGCTCAATGAGATGGCCACCAGCCCGCAGGGACGGTGAGCTACAAAGCTCCAACACAGGGCCCCTGGGCTCCAGGCCCACGGGCCTCTCGCATTTCAGCCGGACAAGCTCTGCATCTCGCCAGCAGTGTGTCAAGTAAACCAAACACATGCCCACAGGGTGGCCCCAGCAAGGAGGTAACGTCAAACACACCCTGCAGTGTCTCGCCTCCCGAGCAGCCCGGGAGAGGAGACCGGACACGGGCAACCCCACTGCAGACAGAGCAGACAAGGCAGGGAAACTGCAATTCCCAAGGGCAGCCCAGCAAGCCGGGACCAAGGAGAGCCAGGGAGCGAGCAAGCACAGCCTGGGGGAGAGGCGGCTTGCTCCAGGAACCCAGGCCTCCCCTCCCACAGCCTAACAAGCAAAGGAGACTCTGCTCACTCAGCCGCAGCCCACTAAGTACAGTGTTCTCGGCCCACCACATCCAGCCATGTACTCATTTGTTATCTTCACCATCATAATAGCACCTTTGACATTTCCCCTGTGGACTCCAACGCCATCATTACTTTCCAGTGTGGTGAGGAGGTCACACACTCTTTGAGCATGAGGCATGGAGCACTTCCAACGTGCTGGGGCAGAGGGGCCCAGGACACTGGGATTCGGATGTCCCCAGAAGCAGATCTGCTCTGAAACGGACAGAGATGAACTTTCAGCCCCCACCCCTTCCAAGGCCCTGAGAAGGGGTCCAGGAACGTATGTGGGTGTTCAGTTTGGGGAAAGGTACTAAAGCAAGACATTCTTCTATGTCTTTTTCTTAAAGCCACACCCCCTCCCACACATACTGTCTAGATGGCAGACCCACCAAACTGGGGTCTGTCCCTGAAACCCACTGCAACTTAGTGAGGTCCACCCCCTTCGTCCTCCATGATGTCTCACGCATTCCCATGCATCAGCTTATTTGGATGTACAGGGTAGGATTTATTCTTAAGCCACTTTAACAAATAAGGAAACAGGAATTCAGAAAGGTTCCGTGAGGCTCCATGACTTGCCTAGAGTGACCTGAGTTCCAGGAGGCAGAATGAGATTCGA